TGGGAGGGTCCCCGGGGCTTCCTCTCAAGTGGTGCAGTAGGATGGCAACAGAGCCCAGTGCTGCCTGTCTGTCCCCACACATGCCTCTCCATCTTCTCCCCGCTCCCAGTAACTGATATGGACACTCCCTCCATCCCTTCTCCAACCCCCTCTGCTTGAGTTCCTCCTCCACCTATTTGGAAGCTTGTGGGATTGCTCTGTCAAAGTCACCCCCAGCAATGTCACTGCTGGATCCAGGAGAGCAAAAGCCAGGGCCAGCCCCATGCTGGCTGCTGTCCCCTTGTCGCAGGCATCTTTTATGGAAAATCCTTTCCTTAGGATTTTTCCTCCTGAGAAGCTGAGAGGCTTCAGGAACGAAATGTAAACAATGATAACGAAATGTAAACAGGGATTATCTGCTGCTGTGGAATGCAACAGGTGCATCTGTGATTGGTCTCATGTGGTTGTTTGTAATTAATGGCCAATCACAGTCAGCTGGCTCAGACTCTCTGTCGGAGCCACAAACCTTTGTTATCATTCTTTCTTTTTCTATTCTTTGCTAGACTTCTGATGAAATCCTTTCTTCTCTTCTTTTAGTATAGTTTTAATATAATATATATTATAAAATAATAAATCAGCCTTCTGAAACATGGAGTCAGACCCTCATCCTCAGACCCCTGTGAACACGGTCACATCCCCTCTCCCCCACCTGGGTACCTTTGATGGTGGCCCCGATGACCTGCTGTGTCAGGTCTGTGGCCGTGCTCCAGCTCAGGCCCTGGTCAGCGCTGGTGACACAGCACAGGCGGGTGACGTTCTGGCCGGTGACAATCTGGTAGGCTTCAGGCGTCCTGCCCAGCACCGTGATGAAGAAGAGGAAGAGGGTGCCCGTGAACTCGTCGTAGAGCGGGCAGGGGTTCATGGAGCGGTGGTGCTGCAGCGTGGCCGTCTCCAGCACACGCATGTCTTCCCACTGCCCACAGAGCAGGAGGAGGAGGAGAGGACACACAGGGGTAAGGACCATCCCAGAGCTGTGGCTGCCCCATCCCTGAAGTGTTCCCAGCTGGGTTGGATTGTTGGAACCCAGGAAATTCCTTGGACTGCCCTGGAGGACTCGAGACCCAGACCTTGGCACAGAGACCAAGAGTTCTGTGACTTTGATTTTGACCCATGGAGTAAATTACCACCTTTATATGAAGAATTACAAGGCAAGAGAGCTTAAGTAGAATAATAGTTAGTTTGTCATAATAGTTAGTTTGTCACAGGGTGAAAAATAGATTTTTGAGGTTTTTAGAATGAGGGCTTGGAGTCCCAAGATGCAGGAATTTGGGCGTACCCTGTCCTTCCTTCTTCTTCCAAACCTCCATGTTCCAAGTGATGCTGGCACTTTTAGATTGGTTTAAGATAGAAACTCACTGTCTAACATAGGTGATAGGGTATTGGGAAGTTATTGTAAATGTTCCAGGTGATGCTGGCACTTTTAGATTGGTTTGAGTAGAAGCTCACTGTCTAACATAGGTGATAGGTATTGGGAAGTAATTGTAAATATTTTACACCTAGTTTTTAGTATAAAATGATAACATCACCTCTGAGGTGGGCAGAGTGCCTCAACCCAACCTGCCAGACATACCTCAGTGGGTCAGAGAAAGAATGCTATAGATAAGAAATAATAAACAACCTTGAGAATGAGAACAGAAGAATCCTGACTCCTTATGATTGCCAGGCTGGGAAAAAGAGACTCGTACGTATCTCAGAGTCACTGTGACCAGCAGAGATCCTGAGATTGGATGGGGATTGGAGCAACCTGGGATAATGAAGGTGTTCCTGCCCATGGCAGGGCATGGAATGAGATGTCGTTTGAGATCCTTCCAACCAAAACCAACCCGTGACCCTGTGATTCCACCCAGCCATGCTCCCTCCCTGTGTGGCTGTGGCACACCCGCGATGGGGACATGCCCAGAGCCATCCTCCCTCCCTGTGTGGCTGTCTCCAGAGCCTGCTGTGCCACACCATGCCATGGGGACATCCCCATCGTGTCCCCAGGCTGGCACAC